GAGGGGGAGACGGAAAATGGCGGGAGGGGGCGTGGTCACGTAACGTCGGAGTGGGCGTGGTTACGTAACATCAGAGTGGGCGTGGCCACGTAACATCGGAGTGGGCGTGGTTACGCAACGCCGGAGTGGGCGTGGTTACGTAACGTCGGAGTGGGCGTGGCCACGCCGCTCTCCCGCCCGCCAGGGGGCGCCGCCCGCCGCAATTAAAAGCTCATTTGCATATATTCAAATGAAGCCGCGTTCTTTTTTTTTTTTTAACAGCGCAAACGCCGCTTTCACTCTTTTTATTGCCAAAATCTCGAGGAAGCTCCCGCGAGAAGCGGAAAAAGCGGGGGAGGAGCCACGCGAAGCGCGGTGAAACCACAAATTTTGGGGAAAATTCCCCAAATCCAAGGGAAACAAAAAAGCTCCAAAACGGAAGGAAAAGCCCCGAATTTATCTCGCTGTTAATTAAAAACAGCCCCGGGGGCTCTCCCGGCTCCATCCCCGGGGGGAATAAAGCAGAATTTGGGGGGGATTTGGGGGAAATTGAGGAATTTTGGGGGTTCTGGGATGAGCTGGAGCCAAAAATCCACGGGAATTAAGGCAAATCTGGGATTTTTTTTTTGTGAGCACCCGTCGTGGTTTTTTTTGGGAAGGATTTTTTTTGGGGGGGGGTTTTATTTTTGGGAAGTCGCTCCTGAAATTTTCCCCGGAAGGCGTTAATGAATTATTAATTAGTTAATAATAAAAGCTATAAATAAACGAGGCGGGGGGGGAAATTCCCTGCGGAGAAAAAAAACCCAGGAAAATGGGAATAATCTAAAAAAATCTCTGGATGGAGCTCCCCGTGTCCGGGGGGGGGCTCCCGAATCCCAGGGAGAAAAATTCCGGAAAGGGGAAAATTCGGGGGGGGGGAAAAAAAAATTGGGAATTTTTGGTGCTGGTTTGGCCTCGCTGCTCCCACCGGGATCCACCGGGATCCACCGGGATCCACTGGGAATCCCCCTCCCCCCTTTTCCAGGGGATCCATCATTGATTTCCCCCCTTGGGATCTCCCCTTGGGATCCTCCCTTGGGATCTCCCCTTGGGATCTCCCCTTGGGATCCTCCCTTGGGATCCCCCCTTGGGATCTCCCCTTGGGATCCCCCCTTGGGATCCTCCCTTGGGATCTCCCCTTGGGATCCCCCCTTGGGATCCTCCCTTTTTTCCAGGATCAAACCCTGGTTCCTGTGGGATCCCCCTTTTCCCGGGGATTCCCCCCCTTGGGATCCCCCTTTTTCCAGAGGATTCCCCCTTTCCCAGGGGCCCCAGCTCTGTTTTTCCCAGATGGATCCCCCGGCAGGATTCCCCGGTGGGATTCCCCCAGGATCCCCTGACAGGATTCCTGGGATCTCAGCAGGATTCCCTTCCCCAGGATCCCTCAGCACAATTCCCAGGATCTCCCAGCAGGATTCCTGGGTGGGATCTCCCAGCAGGATTCCCAGGTGGGATCCCTCAGCAAGATTCCCTGGGATCCCCTGTCAGGATTCCCCAGGATCCCCCAGCAGGATTCCCCTGCGGGATCCCCCAGCAGGATTCCCTTCCCCGGGATCCCTCCGCAGGATCCCTGGGATGTCTCAGCAGGATCCCCCAGCAGGATTCCCTGGGATCCCCTGGCAGGATTCCCCGGGATCGCAGCACTGGATGGAGCTATCCCTCAGCAGGATTCCCCAGCAGGATTCCCTTCCCCAGGATCCCTCAGCAGGATTCCCTGGGATCTCCCAGCAGGATCTCCCAGCAGGATTCCCTTCCCCAGGATTCTCCACGATCTCAGCGGGATTCCCAGGATTCCCCAGCAGGATTCCCTGGGATCTCCCAGCAGGATCTCCCTTTCCCGGGATCCCTCAGCAGGATTCCCTGGCAGGATCTCCCAGCAGGATTCCCTTCCCTGGGATCCCTCCGCAGGATTCCCAGGATCTCCCAGTGGGATTCCCCAGCAGGATTCCCCGGGATCTCAGCGGGATTCCCAGGATTCCCCAGCAGGATTCCCTGGGATCTCAGCAGGATCTCCCAGGATTCCCCAGCAGGATTCCCTTCCCCAGGATCCCTCAGCAGGATTCTCTGGGATCTCCCAGCAGGATTCCCCAGCAGGATTCCCTTCCCCAGCAGGATTCCCCGGGATCTCAGCGGGATTCCCAGGATTCCCCAGCAGGATTCCCTTCCCCGGGATCCCTGGGCAGGATTCCTCACCGGGATCCCCCAGGATCCCCCGGGATCCCCGGGATCAGTCGGGTTTCCGGCCCAGCCTGCGGAAGACGCTGAGGCTCCCGCAGGAGCTGCTGACCCGGCCCGGCCGCGGCGATCCCGAACCGGAACCGGAACCGGAACCAAAACCGGAACCGGATCCGGACCCCAGACCGGATCCGGAACCAAAACCCGAACTGGAACCGGAACCGGATCCGGAACCAAAACCCGAACTGGAACCCGAAGCGGATCCGGAACCAAAACCCGAACTGGAACCGGAAGCGGATCCGGAACCAAAACCCGAACTGGAACCCGAAGCGGATCCGGAACCAAAACCGGAAGCGGGCAGGGAAGCGGATCCGGAAGCGGAGACGGAGCTGGACACGGCCGTGTCCTGCGGCTCTGCGCCGCCGGCCGCGCGCTCGCGGCGCCGCTTCAGCACGCCGGCGTAGGGCAGAGCCTCGGCGTCGCCGGCGGGATCCACACCGGGATCGACGGGATCACCACCGGGATCGACGACGGGATCGGGGCCGGCCGGAGCCTCCCCCAGGCGGCTGAAAACTCCCGAGGGCTGCGGGGAGAGGGAAGGGATCGGGATCGGGATCCAGCCGGGGTTCCTGCTCTGATCCCTGGATCCTGAGCCCGTGGATCCTCTGGATCCTGAGCCCGTGGATCCTGCTCCCCCTGGATCCTGGATCCTTCCCTCCCTGGATCTTCTCCTCCCTGGATCCCACTCCTCGGGATCCTCTGGATCCCGTTCCCATGGATCGTCTGGATCCTGCTCCTTCAGATGCTGGATCCTTTCCCTCCCTGGATCTTGTCCTCCCCAGATCCCATCCCTCTGGATCCCTCTGGATCCCTCTGAATCCCGTTCCCATGGATCCTGGATCGTCTGGATCCTGCTCCTTCAGATGCTGGATCCTTTCCCTCCCTGGATCTTGTCCTCCCCAGATCCCATCCCTCTGGATCCCTCTGGATCCCTCTGAATCCCGTTCCCATGGATCCTGGATCGTCTGGATCCTGCTCCTTCAGATGCTGGATCCTTTCCCTCCCTGGATCTTGTCCTCCCCGGATTCTGATCCCTGCACTCTGGATCCCTTCCCCGGCTGGATCCCGATCCCTCAAACCCTCTGGATCCTGATCCCTGGATCCTTCCCCCCCCCCCAATCTAATTCCCACCCGCCCTGGATCCCTCTAGATCCCTTCCCCCGTTGGATCCCACCCCTGCGGGGTCATGGCCCCATCCTGGATCCCTCTGGATCCTCCCCTGGATCAGTCTGGATCCCCCCAAATCCCTCTGGATCCCCCAAATCCCCCCCCGGAATCCTCCCGGATCCCTCTGGATCCACCCCGGATCCCTCTGGATCCACCCCGGATCCCTGTGGACACCCCACCCTGTATCCCCCAGAATCCCCCTGGATCCCCCCAGAATCTCCCCGGATCCCCCCAGGACCCCTCTGGATCCCCCAGATCCCCCCCCCGGATCCCTCTGGATCCCCTCGGATCCCTCCCTCACCTTCCCCGTGGCGG